GATACACTGACGATAACAATTGAAACTCTACTCTACCGGCTATATGCACAGTAAGCTAAGGATACGCCAAGCGATAAGCGAGATAATAACTCATTTTAAACATTTCATACCTCATAATAGATACACATTTTAGTACTGTATCAATCTCAGATAAAAACACTTCCATACTTCACAAATAATACACATTTTGGTGTTGTATCAATATCAAACAAAAACACTTCTATACTTCACAAATGATACACATTGTAGTGCTGTATCAATGTCAAACAGTTTCCGGTTTAGAGGTCCATCCCCTATCTTCCCCTAAACCGTGGAGTACATCCCCTATCTCCTCCCAAACAAAATCCGGTTTAGAGGTCCATCCCCTATCTTCCCCTAAACCGTGGAGTACATCCCCTATCTCCTCCCACACAAAACAATGTATATAAGCGATTCTCATGTACAAATTCCTCAATACAACAAAGCATCAATAACAAGTGTAATACATACACATAAACCATTCAATATTGTTTACCCAACACAAGTGTAACGCATGCATCACAATTCAACACAACAATGTCATCCTCCACCGATGACCAAGGACAAAACCTCTAGATGCATGTATTCAGTACACCTAATAAAAGAGACTCAACTCTCAAGCAAACCTTAAACCCAACAACGACACTAGTACGATGGTTAAGGATAAAACCCCCAAATGTGTGTATTCGACACTCATGATACAATAGTTTAATTCTCAAGTTTATTTTCCGAGACTCACATAGAGTTAACATTTCATTTACCATTTTCAAGATCAACTTCATAATTTTCTTAAGTCAACATGTTCCATTACTTATTCCAAAAACACTTTTCCCTTTTCACAAAACCAATTACATTCTCTTCATTTTACAAAATCATTTCCATGGATAATAAGCTATAACCCAACTTGATTCATTACGTTCATTTCAAAATAACTCCAATACCATAATTAATCCTTTAACTGTTAACACCTTCTACACAACTCATATTAACAATAGAAATTTACCAACATTGTTCAACCATAAACCCTTTTTATTTTACCAAATCAAAATATAATTTAGGGCTTTCGCTTCTTTCAATAATATCATGCTAATTTTATTCTCTAATTAGTCCAAACCACAGTCAATGATAACAAAACCATTCTCAAACAACCAACCCTAGGTTCCCCTCATGATTTTCAAACAAATCCAACACGGATATGATTTTCATGCAATACAAAATTACCACATGTCTATCTATAGACGGAGTATTGAAAAAGAACAAAGAAATCCCTACCTCAAATGGAGAAGATGAAGGCCAAAAACCAAAGTGCTCCAAATCGCCAAACTTTCAGATTAAAATGAAGCCCTCAACCCACTCTACCTTTCTTACAAAGGACTTAGTCTAGATTTACACTAGAGGGAGATGAAAACCTAGAGAGAAGGTGTGTAGAGAGAGAAGATGATTCTAGGGTTTTGAAATCAAAAGGGAGATGAACAAGTGATATTGAAAGGTTGTTATTAAAGCCCATTAATTGGAAAATGAAAGGACAAGTTAGAATTAAATGAACACTAACAAGCATTAAATGAACACTAATTAGAATTAAATGAACAGTTACAAATATGAATGGACCACTAATAAGGGTAGTAACTGAACTACTAATAAGGATATTAAATGAACAAGTTTGTAACCACTAATAAGGATATTAAATGAACCATTATGAAAATTTAATGGACACTAACCCTTGGTTTCCAAACACAACCAACGTGTTTTAAACCTACCCAACACGACCCAAGACTCATATACAAAGAGTAAAGGATGGAAACTAGAAAAAGACAACAACACATCCACGGAACCGAGTCTAAAATACCATTAAACAATGAAGGGAAAACTGGGATCGCTATAACCTCCCCCCCTTAAAGAATTTCGTCCCCGAAATTAAGAGTACACCAGAAACACAAGGCCAACTAATCACATAGCACTCAACACCCGAGCACTTAGAAAAGAAACTATTCTCACCACAAACCTCTGGTTAACTCTCACAAAAGAAAGGGCTTACCAAGGGGACACGCTTCAAAAGGCAACACTCAGGCACAAAAGCCTCAACAAAACCAAACCCTTCCCGAAACAAATCACCAAAACACCCGACTATCGCTCCAAGCTATGTCACTACTCAACATGGAGAAAGGCCAGTCCATTGATCTATTGGCCTGGAAAACCAAGCCCATGACCGATCTACCACGTGTCTTTTTTGTATTATTTTGCAAACCCTAGGTGATGGAAAGTGTTTTCAAAATAGGTTTTAGGCTTGGGCTACCAATTTTTTTGAAAATCGGTCCGTTTAAATACTAAAGTAGGCTCAAAACAAAATATAAAAAGTTTGGTCCAGGTCTAGCTTGTAGTTTAGATGAAAAGATAATTTTACCCTCTCTTATTGAAAATCGATGAGCAATCAAAAAATGTCTACTAAAACTTCATTTGAAATCGGATGTTGATGAATTTTATATCATTGGAAAACTCTTTGAAAATGATATATATTTGTTTAGATTGTTTTTGAAAATTCTAAAGTTTTTAACATAAAACGATGCGCAGAAGACAGTGCCACTTTCTGAACTTGTACAAGGTCAAGAAAAAACAGAAAGAAATTGAACTGTGGGGATCTATTGTGGCTCAAATTGGCTATGAAGTGGTCTAGGGGTGTTAGGGTAAATTGGGATTAGTCCTAGTGCATTTAATTATGGATTAGAGTTTAGAAATCAAGAGTTTTGGATAACTCTCGAGTACATCATAGGGTGACATTTCCCAAGTAGGGCCAAACATTATAGTCAGTCAAAATGGGATGCCTACAGTGAATGACTAACACATAGCAATCAAGATATCCTTAAGTGAGCATTCGGCAATGCACATGCATGCAAGGAATGTAAGCATATTTAGGAGAAGCCTAATGGTCATAAATACATTATAGAAGATAACATGGAATCATCGAAGACATGTGGCAAGAAGTTTGAAGAAGGAATCAACAATTTGTTGGAAAAACTGGTCTTTAGGTCTTCAAAATATGGCAATCAACTTCAGTGTCTTTGAGAATCTCTATAGAAATGATTGTGTTACATGCTTCAAGTTGTGTTATGACGTCACTTTCCTAAAGACAATATTTGCCTCCATCAAAATGTGTGTAGTGGGTTTACAATAAATTTACTTCTATGATACAATGAAGCCTAGTTTAAAGATCAGTCTATCGAAGACTACACAAATAATAGTAGACCAAAATCCTCTTGAAGAGAACCAAGACAACTAATAATCAAGTCTGCAAAAAATGATTATCAGAAAGAAAGAACAAGCTAAAACTTTCTTTAGAAAACTCTTGATTGAAAACTCAAAATCAAAAGGAAGAGAGAGAGAGAGAGAGAGAGAGAATTGTAGAATGAATTTTGTGACAACTTGTTTCAGGTGACTACTTGAGCGGTGGAAAGACAACTTGAGCGGAGATGAGGGGTTCCCAGTATCTCGTTTTGCAAGAAGAGATACTGAGAGGCCTCATTCACCACTCGAGCGGTGAAAAGACCGCTCGAGCAGTCTACGCGAATTCAGCAACTTAAAAGTCACTTTTAGATCATTTCTTTCACTTTTCCTTTTCTCTTTTCTTTCCTCTCTCTATATATGAAAACCTAAACCTTAGATTTCTCTCTCTATATATCTTTCATTTCACTAAGATTCCAGCCTAAATCCCTTGCAAAAAGTGGAGTGTACGTAAAGATTTTTTTTTTTTTTTTATACAGATTGGTTTTTGATTCTACGAAGGATTCTTCCTAAAGTCTAGCTTTCTTACTCTTTTCTTCAGGTAGGATTACTTTTAACTTAGTATCTCTTTATTTTGAGAATGATTATGTGGTATTGTTGTGACCATGATACTTTATTTTGATGATGGAGTATAAATTGAGTTTTATGTTTAACACATAAGGATTTTACCCAAATTTTATCAAGATTTCAAATAAACTCTTATGGATTATGAGTATTTATGTTAAGAACTATCACATATATAAAGAGGGTGTCAAAGCCCCTAAATTTATTTAACAAACCCTAGTTTTGATTTTGATGAAAAATGATGTTTGGATGGAATTGACTTTCAACTCTTGAAATTTAATAGACATTAGACATAAATAAGTAGATAACTAGATTTTGGAGTACATTATTAATGCATGTTGAATTGGGATTTGTGAATTTGGAAATTGTTAATCTATGTATTGTATATTTTACTATTCATCTCATGTATTTATGAATGCTTGGTTACTTGGAAGGTGGTAAAAAGTGGGAGGTAAATAGTGTATGAGTTCGGGTAGAGAGTCGATTTTTGAGAAAGATGTGTTGTGTTGGTACCCGCGCGGGGAGTTTAGGTACCCAAATGCCCTGTCTTCAGTTTATTGCCAAAATAATGTATGTATTGTATATTTTACTATTCATCTCATGTATTTATGAATGCTTGGTTACTTGGAAGGTGGTAAAAAGTGGGAGGTAAATAGTGTATGAGTCCGGGTAGAGAGTTGATTTTTGAGAACGATGTGTTGTGTTGGTACCCGTGCGGGGAGTTTAGGTACCCAAATGCCCTGTCTTCAGTTTATTGCCAGACGAATGTGGAAAAATATTTTTGGGTGTCCACTTACCCTGCCGCATAATAGTCGGTAAAAGTGAAAAACAAATGATTTTGGGTGCCCACCAACCGCCGTATTAATAGCCGTCAAATGTGGGGATAGCTTTGGTTATAAATCTATGTATATGTAGTATGGGGCTCCTACGAGGGATTCATGGCATATTTACCACCCCAGCGTTGAGAAAGGTTTTTAAGAGGAACAAAGATGTTTTTGTTTTCTTGTCCTTCTTATTTTTGAACATAAATTTTAAATTGTGTTTTGGGTTATGATAATGCCATGTGGATGTTCAAATAATTAGATACTCTGTTAAATGTATCTTTACTAGGCATATAGCTCAGCCCTATCTAACATTTTCAGGAATTGGTGATGTGCCACCATCTCAGTGAGAATGAGTAGACTCTTTTGTTTTGATTGGAGCACCGAGGCTCATGGATGTTTAATGTGAAAGCTCCGAGCTTATTTGGTTAGGACCGTAAGTCCAATTTTGTTGTAAGAAGGCCATGCCTTGAATTTTTGTAAGCCATTAAGGCATCTTATTTGCATCCTCTAACTCATTGAACTATGTCATATGAAAGTGTATTTAATATGTTGAACACAAAATTGTAAATGAAAACCTTAGTTCAATGAGAAAGAGGACCCTTTGGGTTAATGTTATTATGATGATGATAAGATTTCGGCTCAACCATGGTTTAATTGATGTTTTACATTAAATTATTTGGGGGCATTACAAATTTTGAAATCTGGATGATTGGAATGGTTGGATTTGTGGCTTATTTATAGACTTTGATGCACCTGATTTGTAGCGTTTCGGATTTTAAACCGAGTTGTTTATGTTAATTAATACCCGTTACCTTGTACTTGTATTGTTTCATGACTCATGGACATGATAGGTTTCATTAACATTTAGTTATTATAACTAATACATCCTTTTAGATGTTTAGAACCTTGATTGATGTATTAGCATGGTGGTTAGGCAAGATTGGACCAAAGACTCTAAATTTGGATATTTATTTTTGAGTGGTCTTCACTCGTTTGCTATTTTCTCTCTACACACATTGAATCTTGATATCTGTGTCTAGAACCATTGGAAGGCTTTCTTCTAGGGCTTCGATTTACACATAAGAAGTTCCCAAAATGGAGTTCAGACGAGGAAGTTATGCCTATTTAAAGTTTAAGCACCAAAGTTGTCAGCATAGTTTGCTCGAGCAACCAGGAGACCTGGACAACTCTGATTTTCGAAAGCTGAAATCTGATAAGCATCCATTCACTATTCGAGTGTAACTTTTGTCACTTGAGCGACCATGATGACTTTAGGGCCTGAAAAATTGCATTTTTGATCAGATTTGTGGAGCTAAGGCTACTTTTATACTTTATACTATATATAGGGACTTTAGTTATTAGACATCACTCTTTCTATCTCTATCCTTAAGGTTTCTCTCTCTCTCTTCTTTACTTCTCCATCTCTCCTCTATTAATACCCCATTCAAGCTTATATCTACCTTAGCTAGAGTTGGAATCAATCAAAACTCAAGCTTTAACATTGTAGAGCACAACAACGGCTTCAAATCCATTGAGGCTAATTCTCATTTCGCCAACTTTTAAGTCCTCTCCTTTCTCCTTTTCTCTCTTTGAGGTAGGATTTTCTTCCACCCACTTAATATTGATTTATATGTGTATTTGTGGTTTTTTTGATAGATTACTGTAGCTTAAATTTTCGTGCCCCTTTTCAGAAGAATGAATAGCCCTACAATTTGGACTCCACTTGTGGTTCTAAATCTGATTTCACAAGTGCAATGTGAAATAGGGAAAATACAAAAAGAGTCCAAATCTAGCAATTCTTTTTGAAAAAATCAATGTTTGAATCAAATGCCAAAAATGGACTGTTTTGTCAGATTTTAGAATCGCCATCTAAATATTTTTGGGAAATTTAGGAAACCCATGACTCATGCCAAAGGCCATTAGTCCGTCGTCACCAAACTGTCTTGGTTCGGGAAATTAGGTATGAGAGAGGAAGGTCATTTATTGAGCACCCCCCTCACCCGATCAAAGATCGGCCTCTACTAATCATGATGTGATTCTTATGTACAATATATGTTCTTATTTTGATTGTTATGTTATCTTTACTATGTGATGCATACAAGTATAGACTAATTTTGCAAACATTGGAACACTTAAATCATGTTTGTTTTGAAAAAGTGTTTTGAATATGTACCACTTGAAAAAGTGATCGCATATGAGCATTACTCAAATTATTCTAATTCAAGCAAATAGCCTTCATCCATAGGCAGTCAAGCAGTTAGCCTCATGGCAAGCATGCTAGACATAGCAATAATCACACTCATGCAACGTGCTAAAGCAAATAAAAGCTTACCTAGTACTTCAAGCCGAAGTAAACAAAGGAGGTAGAAAAAATGCATGATCCTAACTATGCAATTATAACTAATGCAACATATGCAATATGAAATTAATAGGCTCGGCTACTAGCATGGCATGCGAGTCAATTCATGGCATGTGATAGCGCACGTATTCAAGTAAAAGGTTTGAATTTGACATTTGAATAATATGATGAACCGAACTTTTATGCATGCAAAACGAATGGATGCAAGTCATGGAAATGCTAATTTGAAAATATGATGTCCCTATGCTAACCATCATAAGCAGATAAATAAAAGGGAGAAAGAATGGGGGTTGGAAGACATATAACTTATTACATATTTGTCTTCGCGAAGGAGGGTCCGAACGTCCAAGTGTCCGAATAAATAATTACTACAAATCCAAATGAATAATAACTAAACAGGGCTGTCTAATTTATTACAACAATTATGCAATGATTGTGCGATGCTCTTCAAGAATTACTATGTCTGCCTTGTTGGGAACTATTTTGTTTCACCCTATCATTGCTTTCAACCAAAAGTGTACTGTTTGCAATTTATTAGAGCCTTGCCGATCCAGAATGCGACTTAGTCGAGCCCCAAATAAATCCAATCATACCTTGTTTTCTTACGAAAATCTGTTTTTTGTGCCTGATGTGAAACATTGCAGACAGAGTATTCCTAGCCATGTTTGTCTCTTCTACCCTTCTCTATCATAGAAAATACTCAAGAGAGGAGCGAACTCAGTTCCCAAACCATCTATGGTTGCAAGTTGATTTGCAAGATGATTTTGGACACAATAGGACAAAGATCAATAAATGTAATACATAACAACCACCCCTCCCTCATATCATGAAGTGAATTCAAGAAGGCAAGTAGAGACACTTCAAGGTTCATCAAAATATCATGAATTGATGTAAGACAAGCCTTGACACAATAGACTCCGGCATAACGTCTGGCCATAAAGACGCTTCAAGATTCATCAAAACATCATGAATTGATATAAAACAAACCTTGACACAATAAACTCAGTATAACGTCCAACCGAATCCAACCAATCATATTAGTTCTTTATGTTGGTTGATTTATTTTAAACTCAATTTTATTAGCCTCTTTTATATTACCTTTCATTTTCTTTAACCCATTAAGTCCATTATGATATTTACGTCCATTAAGTCTGAAACACAATAAAGAGAAACAAATATCGACTTAACCCGAGAAAATAAACCTTATTCTCTTCGGGGGAAATTACAAAGGAAGAGTCAAACTCATTTACAAGCGATAAGGGATTTCAAGTCAAACCCAAGATATGCAACAAGGACTAGTCAAACTCAAGAGAGTGATGATGACTTAGAAAAACCCAAAGTGAGCGATAATGACTTGAAATCCAAACTTGATAATAAGCTATAATGACACTTTCCCTAGTGATTTCCAAGGGTTTAACTGGCAAGTTAGTCCCTTAAAAGTAAACACACCGGTGATAAAAAGAAATAAAAAATAAAAGATTGACTTTAGTATAAGAAAGATGTATGCCTTTGGTAATGAACCTTCGAAGAGATTAAACCATTAAGCATGAAAAAGTTTTATGCCTTTGGTAATGAACCTCCGAAAAAGATTAAACCATTAAGCATGGAAAAATTTCTTTCTTATACTTGAATAACAATCTCAATTTTCACAACTCTTTAATCAAAATAAGCAAAGAATGGAGGGAGGTTGCAGAGATGATTATGTGAAGTTGATTAATTGGTAAATACAACACAAACATAATATTAAAACAATAATTATTGGCATAAATTAAACAGCCCCTAATAGCATAATTTAAGCTAGAAAAAGTGAATACCCCCTCCCCCCCTTTTATAACTTCAAATCACATATTTTAGATGTTGAAAAACAGCCCCAAATTAGTCCCAAATCAGCCCCAAAACAGTGGTAAAAATTAGAGAAAACAAGTGGGAAGCACAAGGATAAAAGCTTGGAATAAGGTTCAAGTAAGGGTGATTAACCCCTCCACCTTTGGGTTGCTTTTAATCACAAGTTTCAGCCCTTAAAACAGTTCCAAAATAGTATGAAAACACAAGAATAAGATTGATTAAGATTGAAATAAAACAAAGGAAGCTTTACCTCTTGTAGGGAAGGTGTTCTTGTTGTAAACCAAACTTGATTCCAATGCACCCTAAAGTTTGAGTTATGATCTTCAAGTCTCAAATCAAGTTCCAAGTTCAAGCTCTTGTATGGTATGTATGGATGATATGAGAGCTTCAAGGCTATGGAAGAACAAAGATGAACTCAACTTTTGTATAGTTCTCACCCCCCTTTGATATTTCTCTTGGATATTTCTATACTTGATATTTCTAACCTTTGTATGATATATATCACTCTTGATCTTCTTTTCTAACACTTGATATTGTTTTCTAACCTTTGATATTGTTTTCTAACCTCTATTACAGCAGGATGAGCCTCGTATTTATAGGACTTGAGCTGCTGCTCAAAATATCAGCAAAATTTGGCAGCTGGCAGATTGCTTTACAATCTACTTTGAAAAGTCATGAGGTCCGGCCGGACCTTGGTGTCTCCGGCTGGAGGTCGTTGACGTATGACCGGAGGTCAGTGTATGCCCACTGTTCCTTACTTACAGGTTCAATACAGGTTGGTACAAGGTGCAAAACTGACTTTCTGGGGTAGAAATACAGTGGGTATAGCAGGTTAGAATCGTTTAGAGCGCGAACTCAGAGCCCTTGATTGAGAATTCAAACCACTTACTCAATATAATCGTCATCATCGAGTGCTCGGAATAAAGTGCCTAAGTCTTAAGGGTAGTCAAAAATGGGTTGTCTACAATTACTTTGGAGTATTGGTAGAGATTTTAAGAAAATGCATAATAGAGAGTCAAGGTTTGGCATTAGTTGGGCATTTCTCTATTATTGTTTGTTTAATCAAACCTATTTTTCCTGTATAAAATAGCATATGAGTGTTCTAAATTGAGAAAACCCCAATTTTGTGAAAAATCCTAATTTATGAAATTGTAAAAAATAAGAAGTTGGTGATGTTATATTGAAATTGGGGATGAATGTATATAATTTATGAGATTATATCATTGTTAGAGATTATTGTTGGCCATTGGTGGAGAATGACATTGTTGTAGAAATTAATGCAATATGATGACGAAAACCCATTCATTGCATTATGAATTACCGAATCCATGTATTGAAAAACCCATTTTGAATGGTGTTGTTATTGGACACATTTTGAGACAATATGAGAATTGCATGTGTTGCATTACATTTTAACATCGTGGTTTTAATTGAATGAAATGGTGAATCTGCATCATGTATAGATGAG